ATATCCCTGATTGTGGTGGACTGGATTATGAGGAAAGCTGCGGGGAGTGAGCGAACAAGAACACGTTAAGCCTACAAGAAGACTCTGGAAGATCTGGACTTCAAGGACGACTTATGTCAAGTGTCATACAAACTAGAAGATCTACCAGCGACAACTAGCGAATTGTCAACACAAGCAGGGAAGAGAAGACCTTAAATGAACACAGGGAAGAAAGGGGTGTTAGAAATACCCAAAGAATAGCAGCAAGCAGCAATCACTGTTACCGACAGAAATCTTAACTAAGTTACTTCTTTGACCTTTCTAGGCATCATCGTTCTAACTACAGATAGGTGGTATGGATGAGGATGTCGAAGTTATGCAGAATCGGAATGACTCAACATAAAGAACAAGATTCGGATTTTCACCACTATTATTAAATTATTCATCCTACATGAATCAGAGATTTGGCGTATCCATCACCAAAAACTGTGCGGTAAGCTTCAGACTTTCATCCACACCAGTCTGTATACCATGTTTGAGATCAGATGGCTAGAAATGGGAAGCAACAAGAAGATCCCTCAATGAACCAAGTAAGAACCTATTTCTCAACAAATCTGCCAAGGGAAATGGAGATGGATAGGCATACAGAGCAGTGACAATTAGTTACACCACCCACCCGGCCTTCGAGTCGAGTCTTAATGGGAAATGACCAGTTGGATGTTTGAGGATGATATGGAACTAATCGTAAGAAGAGGACATGAGAGTTTATGGACAGTCAAGGGGCTAGATGAAGAGAACTGCAGAGAACAGGATAAGATGGAGATGTACCCTATATTCCTCTCGGAAGCCAGAGGAATGATAATGAATAATAAAGTGGATATCCATTTGATTGATTAGTATAATATTATATAAATTTGTTGCCATAAAAATAGTGTATCTGTCACATTATTGTGATAAATGGTTAGTGCATACAAAATGCGCATAGATGAAAGTTTTTTATATCCTTAAGTAAAATGTGTATTGGAAATAAAAACCTTAGTGTTTTTAACAATAGCGACATGCACTTGACAGTAAAAAAAGTGATACATTCTTGTAACATAACATTCGACTAATAACTTAACAGTCCTATGAAGTATAAATGACAGTGGATTACCAAAAAGCACTTTAATTTTAAACTTTGCAAAGTTTCTATAAAAGACAAATAAAAAAGAGGATGGAATACTATAAAGACTTATTTTAAACAATGAATAAAAGTTACCCACTTGGCGTACTATTTCATTTACCTATAAAGTACAATTTATGTTCGTACAAATATGTTCTAGTTCACGAAATCAAGTTCATTAGGTGAAAGAAGACTTTTATCGTATTGTTTTCTCAAAATATATCCATCTGTCATTTAGTTAAACCTTTTGAAGTATATTACTTTTGTACTCTGATTTGTGTAGATACTTTATACCATAGTTTTATCTTATTGGTTGAAAACTGATTTTGCCATTCTTAATTATCTCTGAAACAGATTAGTACTATTGTTGCCATTACTCAGCTTAAGTAATTTTAATGCTTTTTTCAAGATTTTTTAGACGTTGATTGCTATGGACAATAAAATTTCTTCTAGCTAACTTAGAAATAATGATTTATACTTTGTTAGTTTTGTGTCTCTTTGATTTACTGGTAGTACATTTACTAACCATAGATATTGTCTGTGGTTCGACTCCCGGACAATGTACACTTTAAGTTCACCTAGTTTGCAAGTCTGCAGAAGAGGAATGACTGTATAGGAGGTTAACAATCTCACTACATAAAGGCAACACTACGGCTACTTAAACATTGAAGCTTAATGCCCTTTATCTCAATCACAGCCTAAATGAATGCAAAAAAAACACGTATTTATAAGTGATTTAAAGTGAAATTAAGTGTTCTGATGTTTCAGAATAGTAAGCTGGTGATATACGGGGCTTTTGTTTTCAAAAGTGAAACAACTCGGAGTACTGTCTTCAATATACTGCGTATTTAAGCATAAAGTCTCTGTGAGAAAAAATAAAGTGATAAAAAACTAAGAATGAAGCGGTATTGGTTTGTAGGGATTCAAGTGATTTCATGTTTGTTAATTAATTGACATTTGTTAGAGAACCATTGAAAATCAGGGAGTACCTGTTTTGATCCAGTTTGGGGCTCCCCTATATCAGTCCATTATCAGGCTTAAAGTGAAGTGGCTTTTGTTTTTGCTGAAACATTACGTGTATGCAGTACATTTACTGATAAGTCAAATGCTATAAATGACTACTTAAAATGAGTTTCAACCTAACTAAGCAACTGTGATTTATTAGTGTTGAAGAACTGGACATATGTCTGATATTTAGTCAATCGTTTCATTATTCAATTATCACAATTAAATGCTGAATTATTTTAGAGCACATGATTAATTCTGACCGATTACATAATAATTTGATATTCTCTTTGTTTGGATGTATGTTAATTTAATTCAGAAAGTGTGGAAATGAAGGGAAAAAAGCTTTTTGATTTTTTTTTCAACTACCTTTATATTAGTATGTAGCTTGCATCACTTATGTATACGGTAAGTATAACTTTTTGGGTACACTGATAAAAAAGCCCAGATGATGGCGAACGTTTAGTCAAAATATTAAAACTGAGTACTAGATTGTTTAATACACATTAAGGTAACTCTCCTTTGCACCTAGTTTACTAATGTATTCAAAACTACATTGCCGTTGAATTTAAAAGGTCTCAGGAATAAAGTAAAGAGTTATTGTAAAGATCTTCGGAAAGTGCTCACATTATACATTATGTCAAAAATATTAGCTACTAGATACCTGAGTTTTAAACTTTATTCGATGAGGTATAGACGAAACTTGAATTCTCCTGGAAGCAACTAAATGCTTGATAGAAAATTCTTTGGATGGAGGATTTCATCATGAGCTGACATCAGTAAGAGAACCACTGTAAAACCTTGGAGTACTGGACAGCTGTTTCGTCCTAGTTTGGGACTCTTCTGTAGTACTCTCAGATTTTTCAGTGGTTCTCTAACTGATGTCAGCTCATGATGAAGTCCTCCATCTAATCAAACAAAATCTCTACGAAACCAGCGCTTGAAAATAAATTCTTTGAAAAGATTTTCATTGTTTAAACACTTATTTTGATTATCTAAATATCTTAGTGGAAATTCCCTATGGATCGGAAAACCACATACTGTAAAATAGTGAAAAGTGACAGAAACTGTTGAGTGATTCTGGCGATTAATTTCACTGTCTTCATAATTCTTCAGAGTTGAAAAGGAGTCATCATTTTACTGATTTTAGAAAGCAAACTATCCTATTTTGAATTCGACGGCAACTATAATTAAATGTCAGTGAATTAACTCTTCAATTCTTCCCGACTGATTTATCATGTCATTATCTACATTTCTCAACAAAAATGTACTCATCGAGCAAATTATTAATACTTATAATAAATGAGACTACCAATAAATCGATCATTGCACATGATTTAAACATCTAAGTGAATGATTTTGGCATCATATTAATATTAAATATAATTTGAAGCGAGAATACAAATTAAGAAATGTGTGCATAAGGTGAAAAAGATGTTTTTTCGATTAGTTAACCATATAAAATTTACTCACTAGTTATTAGCCCAAGTTGAAATAAGAACGGCATAGTGTAGTGCCAAATAAATCATAAGTTATCATTCGCTGAAGGCTGAGGAAACAAGAAATTAGAGAGGAGATATTTTATTGAACAAGAATTTCAACTGTCTCACGAAGAACTTCTTTGACGTATATTAAAAAGCTTGTTGGTGTAGTTTTGTCCTGTGAACTGGATGGTTTAGTTATTGATGCTTTCGTTATTTTTCTAGAAAACATTCTTAGCGCATACTTCAAATCTCCATGAGTTTACCAGCCATCTTGTGGAGAATTCTAGGAAAAGCTCTTTTCAGATTGAAGTAGATGCTGAGGGTGTTGTCTAGAAAGTGAATGAAAGTTCTGCAGCTAGACCATACAGCTCAGAGTATAAAAATACAACAAAATCATCTCTCTGAGCAACAAACCTTCCTCCATCATATTACAAACGTTGTATTCTAGCAAGAAAAAAATAATATTGTTGAGAAGCCTAGATAAATTATATTATAAATGGACAAGTGCGTCGGTGGCAGAGCGGTTAGGACGCTCGCCACCATGCACATGGTCCAGGGTTCCATCCCCGACCGACTCCCTCCTTTACTTCACCAAGCCAGAAATAATGCTGGTAAAGAGGAAAGAATGGGCATGAGTCTAGAAACTCCATCCTGTAGAATAAACACTGCTACAGAAACTTCAAGCTTCTAGCTTGAGACCCTATGTTCCACTGGGGAACGTGGAGGAAAAAAATAAATGGACAAACAATATTAGGTGACCATCATAAAATTACCGAATTGTGTCCGATTTTTACTCTCAGTAGCAATTTCGATAGTACTACATTTAGTTATTTCGAATAAATCTTTCAGATGTTATTCAGTAATCGGAGAAACATCTTTAATGTCGATTTTCGATCTCAATCTAGCATCTGTATCCCTCTAGAATGAAAAAATTGTACATTAAAATCCAATAAACCAGAGTAACTGCTTCCAGTTCCAACTATGTATACTTATCAATCTACTGAACCATGAATGATCTTTTTTCCTCTCAGCCTAAACTCCATATGCTTTTCTTATTTAAAGGGTGTAGATACCGTCTTCACAAGCGGCAACTTACTTGAAGTTAAACATACCAGTGAAATACTGAAGCAAATAAAAATATCCTGTTTAGTTTCCCGATCAGATAGATTCCGTGGTTATATATGGGTTAATTCACAGAAAATATTTAAGGTCTTTTAAAGGTAAAAGCGTAAATAGTAAACTTTGTATCATAATTCCCAGATAAATCGCATTGAAGTGGTTGAATGTAAGGTAATGTAACCTCTCAGTATTTCTTCTGTCTTTGTCAATTCCATCTTTTGTTTTTCTGTTTTTTTCTTGTTACCTGCAAGATTATCCTGTCTGAATTTTGGCCTGATCATCCTGATCCATCCAGTGTAGTTTATCAATGGGAACGACGACTTAGAAATCGTGGTATAGGTGTTGTTAGCCAGCAGTGTGAAGCTGACAAAAATCAGTTATTTGACATATCAAAGTCAAAGCAAACTGTGCCTTCAAAAGTAAATAATAATTATAACAACAACAACAATAACAACTCATTTTCAAGTGTTAAATATACACCAAGTGAATCATTATTGGAGAATGAGAAAAAAGATAGTGGCTTTGATGAGTCAAACAATATTCTGCCTAAAATTGATGAAGAACAATTTCTTCAAGGAGAAAATTTCACTTCACCGACAAAAATTTCACTTAATTTAACCAAAGATAGTCCAACTAAGTCATTAGTTAAAGCAGTGAAGAATATTATTCCCACTCAAATCTCTGGATATGGTAAAACAAACGTCCACTTACCAAAGTATGTAATGATGCTTCGTATACTTTTTTAATACTTATTTAACTATTATGCTTTTTGAGTGTTGATTTGCAAAGATTTGACTGGTGACAGGATTCCATCTAGAGCTGATACTGGTTATGGAATCGGTAGGAAACCACCAGAGAGTGCGGGCAGTTGTTTTGCCCTAATTTGGAACTCTTCAACAGTACACACCCACCAAAATTCAAACCCAGGACCTTCTGGTTACAAAGCAAACTTTTTAACAGCAGTAAATTGTGGTCGTATGCGGTCTGTTAGAAATAAGTTATTTTCTATAGTTTGGTTTCCAAGGTTCAGTTTTGTTTTCACGAGTTGATCACAGATCGATATCAGTCCCAGTGGCTGAATGGTAAACGAGCTTGGCTTGTAACCGGAAGGTCCTGGGTTCGAACCCTAGTAGCGGGTGCGTACTGATGAAGAGTCCCAAACTAGGACGAAACAGCTGTCCAGTACTCCCTTGTTTTCAATGGTTCTCTAACTGATATCAATCCGTGATCAACTCGTGAAAAAAAATAAGTTATGTGTATTTAGAGATTTCATGACACGAAAGGCACTGTCACCCTTTTTGTAGGACTCTTGTTGTGTATAGTTTAGTTTGTCAAATAAATCAACGATTACATTTAAAAGCTTCAGTTTGTGAGTTAAACAACTTCAGGATGATTGTAAACTACAAGCTTTGAACATATAAATAATAATTGAAATTCTGAAATCAATGGCTTTAATGCGGTGGAGCTGCCACCAGTTAAGTGGCTAAACGTCAAACAGATACTTCTGTGGAATAATCTAGCAGTCAGCCGTATTGAGACCAGATGCTGAGTACATTTTAGACAATCACCTTAATACACATCAAATTCGAAATTTTATACCACATTAAGATGCTTTATTTATTTGTGTTTTTCGGTAGAATTTAAATGCTCGGTAGAAGAGTACTGCTCATTTGTATAGGTTTGACGTGAGAAGGTTGTTTGAAATTGAGAAATAAAAGCAGCTTATTTATTTGGTTGAATGACGATAGGAACCATGAGGAGTTAAATAGTATAATATTTAATAAACGAAATTATGAACAAATGGTTGAGAGCGTTGGCAGATAGGAAATTTCTCTATCAAATAGTAAATATGAATAGTATTTTAACCATCAGAGATTACTAAACCAACTTTGTTCTGTTTCAGATTGTCTCAGTTTTATAAAGCTTTATCATTATTATCAATTTTTGGGGAATAGCTAACAGAACACCTAATAATTTATAAAAGGAGAGTCTTAGTTCAAATTGGCGTATTCAGTTTAATTAGATTCTGGAGAATGTTGTATTGACTCAGAACTTAATCCACTTTTTACGTTAATCATATTGAAATAATTAAGGGTCCTTGAAGCATGCCTGATTACACGAAAAAAGAAAAGACACATGAACTGTTACTACATAATTCCCATCCATGCAAGAATGCTTGAAACCTAATGATAGAATTAGCTAGGACTGTAAAAATTAACAAATTCAAAAGATAGTTACAAGGTGGGGAGGGGGGAATCGTGTTTAAAAACTTAACACAAATTATGTAGTTGGCAATGGCAAATAAAGAGGCTGTACAGATTTCTTTTAAACACACAGATTTGGCATGTACAGATGAATTCGGATTGCCTCTGCTGTATGTTAATGTCGTACACGTAGATCATGCAGTGAGAAGTTGGGTGATTTACGATAAATATAGTGAATTTCCACAAATTTGGTGTCCCTCAAATAGGTGAGACAAATTCAATAAAAAGCACAATTGAAATTAACCAAAACAGTGTGCGAGTTCACTTCGTTAAGAGATAATGTGAATCTACATGAAGTCATTTATAGTCAAAATTTATTTATTGGCATAGTGTTTTTTTAAGCAGTTGGCTTCATTCTGTTTGACGGAAAATAACCATCCACACATGAACATAAGAACAAAAATTTTAGCGAAGAGTCTCCTTTCGGTGAATTCACTCACTTATCTGTATGACTGCATTTATACATAATTATTATTATTTTGTATGTGTCTACATCAGGAATGTCAAAGAAAAAGAAAAATTATTATTATTCTTATGTCAAAATAAAAATTAGTTAGGGTTATTGCTTACGTCATCAAAGTGTTTCAAAAATTTGGTAAATAATCAAACTGTAACAACTGGGGTGAAGATTGGTAAGTATTGACAAGAGTTGAGTAATATGAAGTGGGATGCTAATTAAAAAGCCTGGAGTCACGTGTCCAAAATAAATTATGTAGTAGGTGGAAAGAGTAAATAAAGGGTTGGCTAAGAAAAAAATGTTATTAAATAGTCATTCAGAAATTCAAAAAAAAGTATTATTAGCAAATTAGTAGAAATTGGAATTATACCCATTTAGAAGGACGGGTGGAGAAGTTTCTTCTGTGCACATAAATCAGAGTTTTCTATCTGGATCGCTAAGGCCTCGGCAATGTGAAGTATGCGGAAGCTTACGGCTTTTGGGAGGTTTCTTTTGACTTTGTAGATGACCTTGAATGAATCCTCCTTACATATTGAGTGACCTTTTTCTTTCCTTCACGTTCCCCAGTGGAACATAGGGCTTCAAGCCAGAGGCTTGAAGTTTCTATAGCAGTGTTTATTTTACAGGATGGGGTTTCTAGCCTCATGCCCAAGCTTTCCTCTTTACCAGCTTAATTTCTGGCTTAGGGAAGTAAAGGAGCGAGTCGGTCGGGGATGGAACCCTGGACCATGTGCATTGTCGGCTAGCATCCTAACCACTATGCCACCAACGCATATTGAGTGACCAGTGTTGATCAACTGCAGAACTTACTATCGATCCACTGTTACCTCTTCATAGCCAAGCAGGATGATGCTCTTTGACTCTTAGATAAAACAAGCATCGAACAACCTACCCTAACTTATGTCTATTTTTGTTTGAGAATCCAAGTGTACACATATAAACACAAAATAATTATATTAAAATGCAATTATATAGCTAAGTAAATGAATTCACCGAAAACAGACTTTCGCTGAACTTTGTTCTTCTGATATTCATTCTATTTGTTTATTATTACTTGTATTTATTTAATTTTGTTTTTTATGTTTCAGCTCAAAGAATTATTCCTCTCCTCTATCTGTTGCACAAGATAATAATTCAAGTCTCTTAGAAAAAAGTATTGTTGAATTATCACTTCATGAGAAAGTAAAAGCAACATTAGGAGAAAAATATCAGAACAGTACTGCAGAATTAACTGGATCAATGTTGACAAAACAGAATGTTTCCAAAAACAATGCCAGTTCAATGATTCATTTGAATTCAATAGTTCCATCTTTACCATTCTGTCATTCAATTTATCCACAACATCATTTTAAGGGTTTACAACAAAAACTACAATCTAACAATCTTCATCTCTCGCTTTCATCTTTTCCACTTCAACAACAACAAGTAAAATGTCAACAGTTAAGAAAACCGGATAGTTTAAGCAAATTACTATCAAAGTATCATAATCGTTTACAAATAGGTGAAAAAGTTCTTCAAAGTGTAGAACAGCGTCGTGATGAATTAGCCACTAAAGAGAATCGACTACCAGTAAGTCAGTGTCATTGGTTATACATGTTTCTAAAAATATATGAACTTAAATATAATTTCAGTGTTAGTTTGTAGGAATTCGATTGGTTAGAGGATTTCATCATGAGCTGACATTGGTTAGAGAACCATTGGAGAACCTGGAAGTACTGGACAGCTGTTTTGTAGGCCTAGTTTGGGACTCTCCAGAAGTACGCACCCACCAGGATTCGAACCCAGGACCTTCTGAGCTCGTATACCATTAAGCCCGGTGGGTGAGTACTGATGAAGAGTCTCAAAGTAGGCCTACGAAACAGCTGTCCAGTACTCCTACCTTTTCCAATGGTTCTCTAACCAGTGTCAGCTCATGATGAAATCCTGTAACCAATCATATTCCTACAAACCAACACTTGAATATCGATGAGATGCTCACTAGCGACTGGCCCTATTCGGGTAGGTAGTTACCTGGGTTCCAGTGGGAAAACGTGACCAGTAGGGTGCAGCAGGTCGGGTGTGAAGACAAATACTCGCCGAAGACATTGGCTAGCGGTCGCGCTATGTCGTGAATTGGCAGAAGTTAGAATTCATGGGCTGGTCATTGGATCGGGTCCCAGTGGCCTAATGGTATACGAGCTCGCCTTGTAACCGGAAGGTCCTGGGTTGGAACCGTGGTGGGTGGGTGGGTGCGTAGTGATGAAGAGTCCGAAGCTAGGACGAAACAGCTGTCCAGTACTCCCAGGTAACCCAGTGGTTCTCCAGCCAATGTCAGCTCATGACTAAATATAATTATTAGTATCTGATTACATCTAAAGAAAAGAGAGCCGATTCGGTTTTCTTCAAATTGTAAGCAAAAAAAGAATTTGTAGAATGCATTGACTTCAAGGCTATTTTTGATTCTCCATAATCTGTCATTAATTAATTAGTTAATTGATTAATCACTACACTAGTCATTAAAGTGTCTCTCGTGAATAAAAATACTTTAACTGATGAAGGAATAAATGTAGTCTAAGAGCTGTGATAAACTGATAAATTGAGAAAGAAAAGTCATAAACCATTATTCATATCATTTCTGATGGTAAAATGGTGAGTCTGATTTATTTAAATAATTGGAGAGAAGTGTTTTCGTCTTTAAAGACTGACGTTTGACTAATAAAAGGTATAAAAATAACTAGTAAATCAGTGGGTAAGACAGTAAAATGAAATTCAATAAAACGTGAATAGGTAAACTAGCACACCACTGCAGTAACGATTGCAAGTAGGAAAGTTCTGTTAAAAAAATTAATACTGCTTAGGATTTTTAGAAGGTTATGTATATCAGGCTTCGGTGGCATAGTGGTTAGGACGCTCACCGCCCATGCACATGGTCCAGGGTTCCATCCCCGATCGACTCCCTCCTTTACTTCGCCAAGCCAGAAATAATGCTAATAAAGAGGAAAGGTTGGGAATGAGGCTAGAAACCCCATCCTGTAAAATAAACGCTGATACAGAAACTTCAAGCCACTAGCTTGAAGCCCTATGTTCCACTGGGGAACATGAAGGGAAAAAATGTATATCAGATGGTTGGAGGCAGTCGGCAGGAAGCCCTGGAAACCTGGATCCAAGGCTATCTGTCAACTACCTGCAACCATATAGAATCAATAATTCAAAGTGTACTGTGATGGCGAGCTACCTGAAATGGTGGTCATATTGCAAATCTGACTGATAGAATTCAGTATGCACCAAACAAAAGACTAGACTTATCACTCTAGTTACCAGCGTTCAATCAAAGCCTTATGTATTTCAAAAAGAAAGTATTATTTGTTATGATGATTTGCACAGTGATAGAATGAAACACTGAAGATTTAGTTTGGAGGGAAAACTTTACATTGATTTGATCTTCTCATTATGGTTATACTAAATGTAAGGTTATATCACAAAATACCAACAAAAGTCATGTAGATAAAGAAGTAACTGCAAGAGGTTCTGACAGGAATAGCTTGCAGAGTATTTAGGAATATTTAAAGAGAAAAAAGAACTAAAGTATTTCGTATTTATGCAACTTTTAAATTGAGGCAGTCATATTTTAATAATACTGCGAATAATGTGCCTGATATACAGTCTGCTAGTTGGTCTCATTTTTAATATGGTCTTCAACTTTTCTTTCTCTGTCAGGAAATTTGTTTGTCGATGTTCCTCTTTATACCAACAAAATACACTTAGCTTACGTTTGTCTACTTTTTAAGTGTATCTGTTTATCTCCAGTGATTCATCTATGTTGACTTCACAATAACTGCTAACATATCTTTTATCTCTCACTCTAAAATACTTAGATATGTTCTTAACTTTGGTACAAATATCACGGAATACTTAACAAATCCACATGTCTGAAAGCCAGCATTCCCGTCAAAGTGTTTGGTCTACGTTATAATACATCAAATAATATCCTCTAAAATTTCTTTGATTAGTGATCTATTTGTTAACTAGTTGTCAGTTTGTTAATTACCTCGCTTACTGTTCATGAATCTGACTGAAGTAATTAATAACTCTTTCTTATTATCATCTACTTTATGTAGATGATATATCTAGGTAACATATGCGACGATTCATTTTAACAGCGAATCTGGTTGATTTCAAGGTGGTTCCGCTTACCAATTAAAGACTCTGAAAGAATATTATAAAAGCAAGAAACAGTAAGGGGCTCTTTACCAAAGTGTAGGACTGTTAAAGTCTTCATTTTGTAGTCTTCAAACAAATGAGATCCTGAGCTTTAGTTCGTAAGCCGTTAGCCAATCAAGATTCTTAACTCAATTTCTCTGAGGACTGTCAGTGCAATTTCCTGAAGAGTTCAGAACTAGAGCAAGATAGCTTCTAGGTATTCTTTGAATTTTAGTAGCTCTTTATTGCTAAGTGCAAAGTTTCCTGTCATGAAAAACTGTCATCACCGTAATGTTTGAAAACTAAACAGTTTCAGGAAAGATAACTGGTCAAGCATTAATTAAAGAACCAAGTATAGTTCGACAGTAAAACGTGGAGTTTTACCAAGATATTCATCATTCATCCCATAGATACTTAGACTTGGAGGACTTTGGAAGCTGGATAGTCATAGAGTAGTCAAACACGGAGAAAGCGGATAACCATCTCCAGAGTCGGCAGTAATGTAGACATTATCTGTTAGGGTTTGTCAGAATGTCAGAACATATGATCAAGGACTTTAGATTAACACAGCCTTCGCTTATTTACAATTTTATGTTTCTCTTAAGTCCAGGCTGAAAATTTCGTCTACTCTGAGTTACTCCTTTATCTTTTATGTCACTCTTAACTGTATTATGCTCGGGTGCATTTCTGTAACCTGGACTAATATGAAGCTACCTTTGAGGGCTTTTACCTCAATTAGACATCTCATGATTTCTTGTGACTACCTTCATAAAAATTTAAGTTTCTGACAGTGAAGTATTCCAGAGATTTTAGTTTCATAGGATTATAGCCATATATTACCATCTGTCTATAACAGTCTTCAGTCTGAGCGCTTATTCAGAATAATACTGTGTCAACTATCTATTCCGTCTTTTGTACCTTATGATGCTCCATACCTGATTAATGAATACTTTTTGAATTTTCAGTTGGTCGAAACACACGGTGACACCTTAAGGAAAACTAAAACCCCACAAGAAGTTCCTGTGAAGTCGAATGATTGCCAAACAAACAAATTATGTCATCAAACTATACCCACTACAAATCTTACTACGAATAATGACAAAGTTGAAGAGACCAATACAACAGGTTCATATAGTATGAAATCAATAAAACAGCCTAAGCTAATAAATCAGACAATAAAATCAAAACATTTCAATCTAAATCAACAAATTAAAGTTAATCCAGTCATTGCCAACAACATTGACAAAAATAGAGGTGATCCTACAGGCATAAATGGTAACAGACAAATTGACAAGTATAGTAATGAAGTGCCATCACAATCCGACCCAAAATTATTATTAAAACAGTATATAAAAGTAAATGAAGATAATGATATTAATAATAAGGCATGGATTGATAAAGGTCAAGAACAAAATATTGATCGAGAAGGGAACAATCATGTCACATCACATCACATTCCTACTGTTAATCATACACCTAATCATTATCAGCATTATAGTGAAAACAATCAAACTGAGCTGAAAAATAAACAAAATTTTAGTGAAATTTCAACTGCTGTACAAAATACTCCTCATAATCTTCACGTGAACGAAATAGATTTAAGCAGAAGTAAGTGATTGAAGTGTCTAATGTTTAAAAAATATTTTGGTCAGTTGGCTCTTCAGTGGCCTACGTATTGTTACGATTGTTATGATTAAATGATCAGAATAATATGAGAATGAGTAACTAACTAGTCTTGAATTCCACAGATTTAACAAATTCTTTTTTTATAAACCAAAGCAATCAGCTGTATATAATAGTGAGGGAAAACAAAAAAATGTGAAAGATATTTTGTTAACAGAAGTAAAGTTCATTTTCTTTATTAGACTTTATGTCAGTCAACTTTGGATTTGACGGTTTTGTGAATATGAGGTAAATTTCCAGTGGAACATAAAACCTCGAGCTAGAGTCTCCAAGTTTCAGTAGCAGTGATGTTCATTTTTGAGGGATAAGGTTGCTAGCCTTATGCCCAACCTTACGTCTTCGCCAGTCTTATTACTGGCTTGATGAGTTGAAGGAGTGCATCGGCTGGGAATCGAACCCCGGACCACATGAGGCGTGACTTTACTCTTTCCATTCTAAACCAGTCAAAAACTGAAGTTATTTGAACTGTCAGAAGCATAAGTTCCTCTTGCTACTTCGCACATTATTACTAAAACCGTAACGGTCGCTATTTGAAAAGATGTCTGTGAGAATTCTAAGCGATGATTTTGTGGATGGCACTTCGGCATCTAAAAACAATGAGAGCTGTGTTCAAACCTCAGTAGGTATATTACCACTCACTGCAGATGCAGATATATCCTGCTAATAAGTCCCAAATAGGACAAAATGTGCGCCATGCATAAAACTGTTAGCTACTGTCAATCAAAAATTACACCATACTTATAAACTGCTGATGCTTTTATACAGTTTATTTTGAGGTCTTCCTTTAGTAGTTTTAACAAACTGTAAATTGAAATTTTTTGTCAAACTTTTGATTTAAGTAATGATGAAACTCCTGATCTAGACTAGTCTTTTTATATGAATTAGTATTTTGATGTACTGAGCAATAGAAGCACGTATTTCAGTCAATCTACAGCCCTTCCAATTATCTTGTGTGTTACAAATACATTACATAATATTTTAGTGTCTCACAGAAATCCATAATTGAAGGCTATCGTAGATTAGTGCGCCTAGCGCAGTATTCGGTCTGTTACCACAACAACAAGGAAAACACTCAGTAACCTTTATTGATGTTTGATGACGATGAGACTAGGAAATAACTTGAGGTTAAAGCTGCTCAAATGTAAATTGACTAAATGTTTTAGAGAACAACGGCGTGTAACACGAAAATTGGTGTAAAATATATATAAGCACTAAGTAATACATTGCTAATATTTTAATCTTAATGTAGAGGCAAATTAGAAGTGATCTGTAGTGAGTCAAAGGAATTCTGAGTAGACTGGAATTTTGATAACTTCTCAGGTGAAATAGCTGAAGTGTTTGACAGAACACTATGGGTTACACTTTAGTTAACTAGCAAGTTCACTAAAGCTAAATAATACCCAGTCAGCAAGAATGCGGCATGGAGCTATCTTCAGTTCAAAGCGAAAGAAAGCACCAGGATCTAACAGCTTGATTTCAGAGGTGTCAAAGAATGCATGTGATTAACCAAGGTAGTAAATATTGTGTGAATTCAAGATACTTACATTAAATTCATACAAATATTTAGCCAACCTAGTTTATAAGAAGGAGAGCACATCATCTTGTGATAATTACAGAGGGCTAGGCCTGATAGCCTAAGACTAATTAGAACTCTGCAATACTTTGGGCTAAATCACTTTGCATGACCATTTTTCCTCAGGGCATTGCTAAACAAAGCCCATTTTTTTTACTGTCATTCAAATGTTGAAGTATTTTATTGTCATTGTAGTTATAGGTTGTTTTCAGTTGATGAGAACCTGTGAAATAGAATGATATCCTTGTATACTGCAAATATGGTGTTTCTCTATCGAAAAAGGGTTTAATATATAATTTTTTCCTAATAGGTGTAATTACATTGTGCTAAATAGTCTAAATTACACATAGATTAGTCTCCAAGGCTTATATAAAAATAACATTTTCGTTAAATTTTCTTTTCTGACCAGCTAAATCATTATCCAATGATCATAAACTTGACAACAGAAAACAAGAGTCATCCGAACAATTTCTTAACAAGACCTTTGATAATGAAAAGGATGATGTTAAGCTGAATGGTGAGAAAAAATCCCCAGACAGCTATCTCTCATGACACTCTGCCTGTTGTTACACAAAAGCAAGTCAAAAATGGAGTAATTAGAGATAAGAATTATGCTGCCGGTATTACGACTAATTTTAATTCTCCTATAAAGACATTAAATGCTAATGATGCAATCAAAAATAAATTGATGGCCAACTGTTCTACAGTCAATGCTATTAAGAAATCAGATCGTGACGAGACGAAATCGCTGTATGCATCGATTGGAGTAACATATGTTCCAGGTAATAATTTGTTTTCAGCTTCAATATGCAAATGTAAATATACACCTCATTTGGTTTTATGATACGCTAAAAAATGCTAAACATAGCACCATAAAAGAAGAATACAACTTCCTGACGGTTATCAGATCCCAGTCAATTTGGTTGTAAACATTTATGCTTATACTTTTCCCTAATGAAAATGAGCTGAGGAAGTTTATTTTATGACATTTCCAGATTTGTTAACCACTTGATATTATCACCTCAACTTATAGTAATTATGAGTTGTAGAGAAGAGTCATATACGAAGGGAAGACTTTTAATTTAAAATATATATTCTATTAAGTTTAAGAACCATATTAGTTTTCAAATTCACCCTATTTTAGGTAACAACAAGTGTTTGGTCAAATAGTATGATCCAGTGTTCGATTGTATTTCTCGATGCCCAGCACTAATTTTCGTACTGTTACATGTTACTGATTGTTTGATTCAATGAAGATAATTAATTCCATCAAAACTGTCTCAGGAATTAGTATGCTTTTAGTCGAAGAAATGTGATGAAAAGTATTGACTGTTTAAACAGCTCCTTTCTTTTATAAGCCAAGGTTTTTGTGTCCGGAGTAAGTATTTAGCCGTCAATTTATCCTGAGATTGATCTCAGTACCAGTTGCTTACTTGTCAACAGACACTTAATATTTAGTTCCAATATGATGAGGCATCAAAAATATCAAGTGAACTTAGTAAAAGTATCTGGAACCCTTTGCACAAAAGGTGGCTGTCCTTGCCCAGTGGCCCAGTGGATAACTGTCTGGGGTTTGAAATGATGTCAGCTAGCTTCAAGTCCCACTGGAGACACAACTACTCACTAAGGATGTAGGTACATCCAGCGACGAGTCCCAAATAGGACCAAATGTTCATCCTGGATTCCATTGCTAGTCGCTTTCAACTAAGTAACATTATGCAAAACTATTGTTTAAGTAAAACGTTACTATAAGAAAAAGGCACAAACAGCGAAGAAAATTTTCTTTTCGACTATTCATTTTCATGAGCTGTACAATCGTAAGATGTTTAGACCAGTCAGATACTGGTAAACTTTGTCCTTGAAAAATCGTATTACATAATGTAAAGTGTAAGAAAGGATGACTAATTGTAAGTTAGAAAAGAGACAGAAGTTGGCATGACGTAATAAGTGTGAGATAATGACTAATCAATAAGCTCGTGTAGAATGGACAGGAACTAATGGAAAGGCGATAAAGTGTTTTTGTATAAAATCTGTATAAAAAACCAGCGTTATTAATAAACAGTAATACAGTGGTAGTACAATGTGGATGATAGGAATAATAATGATATTAAAAGTACACTACTGTTTATTGAACACATTTTCACTTAACGGATTTCTGACGAATAAAAATCTTTAAACCTTCTATAAAGTGGTCGTATCTGGTCGTAGTATCTATCCAGAGAAATACTTTAGCCTGAGTTTGTAGTTATACTCAATCCATCACCTTCACAGTAGCGGTTGATACTCTCTTTCGTCAACTTTTAATATTAGTTTCTTAGCTACTCAACTTCATTTACTGATACATAAAATTTATTTCAAGCAATTAGTTCCCTTTATGAATTTCGATAACACTATAAGAAGGCGTAGTTCATTTGACACGTGTGATGTATTCGTGCAACACATTTCGGATATTCTGATCACACACGTACTTGTCATACACTGTTTTATAGAAAGCAAGAAGGCATGAATAATTACTAATGTCAGCTCATGATGAAATCCTGAAACCAATCAAATCCCTACAAACCAACACTTCAATTACAATAAAGGTGAGATTGTTTACAGGTCAAGGTCACAAATAGTGGGTAGGGATATGACGCAAACTTGTGGGTAAAAACGAAGAAAAGAAAAAAACAAAAAAGAAGGGTTGAAAATATTTTGAAGTAAATAGATCCTTGGCTCTGAACTGGATTACCAAGGCAGGTTTAAAGTAATAATAAATAAATTTTGGACACATAAGACAGGTTTAAGTCTTTTTACGGCCAAGGCTTCAACAAATTTAAGTATGTGACCCAATCTTGTTTTATAGATGGGCTTAAAGATATAGTTGAAATCAACCTGATGATTAGTCGTCTCTATGATGTGCTTCCCTACAGATGATGTTGGACATCTGTTTCCGGGATCAGTTGTATCTGGCGTTTTTATTTGTTGTTGCAGCCATTTTGGAATAATAAGTCTCGGGGGGTAATTGTTATCAGTAAGGTGTTAAGTGTATCGGCAGTATATATATGATGAATAAGTTTGAAAAAACACTTGACCGACGCCTTTTTTATACTGTAGTGGACAGAAACTACTTAATTTAGATACTGTCCAGTCCATGAGGACTTTCTGTAAACAGATCATTTTACTGACCCATCTTCTCGGCAGGTTATGAGTACATCTAAAAATGCCAAACAATTATTATTTTCTTTAACGTATGTTAACGATATACTGCAGGTTATTGTCGAAAGATAAAATTTATTGTTTTTTTAAGGTTATAAAAACAAAAATCAAATTTATTATGAAGTACTTTTGTGAATTTTATGCCGAAAACAAAAGAGTGAGGTGAAAACAATTATAAGAGTCATTAGTGATCATCCATTCAACAAAACTGTTCTAGGTACTCAGTGTTAGAGTCACTGAGATGAGAGTCAGATCACACGCTAAAAATTATTTCATTTACAATCTTTCAGGAATAGACAGGTTTTCAGCTGTAGAGGTATGATAAAACGTTATGCTTATACTGATTGTTTAAGCCGTTTCTTTCTCACAAAGGTTCAGGTTTTTGGTGTTGTTGGAAAGCAGACAGTCTTACAATTAGTGAAATTTGCGATTTATATACTGGGGTAGGTTCATTTAGTTCTATGGAATGATCAGAGTCAAAGGTAGCGTGCTAATCAGAAATATATTTCCACCACACTGAACTTATATTCGTGTACACTACCTAAGTCTTACTTTCCACAGCAGCTGTGAATGAAAAGGATTATATAACACGTTTACCAATTGCATATATGTTAAAAATATTATCCATCGAAATGTGGAACTTTCACTTCACTTAATTTCTTCAAAATACTCAATTTTGCAAGATTATTTATCATATACTAATAAGTGTATATTATAATTTTTGAAAACACCTTAACGCCTATGATTCTTATTTTCTTTTCTTCAATTTATCATATAGACCCTGAATTTTTATCCAAGCGTTATCATATTGGACGTAAATTAGGTGATGGAAATTTTGCTGTAGTTAAATTAGGCAAACGACGTGATACAAATGATCATTATGCTGTGAAAATAATTGACAAAAATAAGATAACTGGTAAAGAGGCAATGTTATTACATGAAATCAGTATATTACATCATTGTAGTCATCCAAATATTGTTCGTCTATATGAAGAATTTGAAACTTCAAATGAAATATGGCTTGTAATGGAATTTGTTAAAGTGAGTTCTATTGTTACTGTTATTTAGATTTCTTTTTTATTTTATGAAACGTATATGAAAAATATAAAATACTTAGCTGGCCAAATGGTTTTCCCCACATTATGATAATTAAAATAAAGTACATTAACGAAGAATACTAACTCCCTGTGACTAGAATTCAGCATGCATAGATGTCTCCACAAATAATGAAGACATGTCAATGTCCTTGGTTGTATCTCGGGTGGGGACTTGAGTGCGTACTACTAAGTAGTTCCAAACTAGGACGAAATAGGTGTCCAGTACTCTTTGATTTTCAAAGGTTCTTGAGTTAATGTCGTTTTTAAATCCTGATAAACCAACAATTGAAAGTTTATGTAGTCATCAATAAGTGTTTCATGTTACTCTACAACAGCAGCGATAATAACGTGAGTCGGTGGCACAGCGGTAAAATGCTCGTCAACCACGCCTCATGGGGTTCGGGGTTCGGTCCCTTGCCAACGCACTCCTTTGCCTCGCTAAGCCTGTAATAAGAGTGGTAAAGAGGGAAGGTTGGGGATGAGGCTAGCAACCCTACGCCGTGAAAATAAAAAACACCACTGCTAACAAAACTTCAGGCCTCTAGCTCGAAGCCCTATGTTCCACTGGAAACGTGAAGAAATAAAAAAAGCGATAATAACAATGTCGCTGATATAAAAATCATCAAATAACAAAAATGAAGACTCTGAAATTTCAGACATTTCTTGAGCCTAATTTAATCCTAATCTTATGGTTGTAGACCACTAAGGGTTAGGTAATTGAATAACTAAGCTTTATAATAACATGGTAATTGTTAAGGTTGAAAGGTTCAATGGTAAAGCCATCTATAACCCTTATCAATAAGCAAAAAATTATTCTTTTCGATAATTTATCGTTTACACCATTAATAAACATATTTATGACCAAAGAATCCAAGATTTCCCTACCACATAGATGCATATGACTAGAATATTACTACTAGATTACAGTTTTTTAACATTAGTGTACGTGACAATATGCATGAATAAGACAATAAATTTAGGTTTAGATATCACAAGGTGTTTCTCTTGAGGTAGACGAATACAGATAACAGACTATATTATTGAATTCTAGTGATTAATGTTTAAAATGAATTTTATTCATTAAACCAATGTCTAGGAGAGTTAATGGAGTAAAAGACTATGTATACGCTTCAGTATTTAAGTGAATTTAGACATGAATAACCAAATATAAATTAAGGAAATAAGAGATTCGTTCATATAAATGTATGGGTAGAAATGTGAATGGATTATATGAGTTTTGTTAGAAAAAATAATAAAGGAATGAGAAGATTTGTGCATACATGACGAAAATGAATGCCTGTTAGGCATGACTGATTGCAGTATTTAGGAGTTTATAGATTTTCCAGTAAACCAGGGTTACAACAATGGCTGGACTTGCTCCTTTTATAAACGCATCTCCGGTTGTTTTAGGCAAATTAGTGTGCCATCTAAGTGTTCAAAGAGTTTGGTACCCTGTTACTTTGATATTTTATTAAGCACATGTTTCCTTTATGTTCCCAGTGGAACATAGGGCTTCAGGTTAGAGCTTTGAAGTTTCGGTAGTAACGGTATTTAATTTTACGGGACGGGGTTTGTATCATTGTGCCTAACCTTCCCTCTTTACCAGTCTTATTACAGGCTTAGCGAGGTATAGGAGTGAGTCGGCTGGGGATCGAACCCTGGCCCACATTAGGCATGGTTGGCGAGCATTCTACCGTTGTGCCGCCGACGCACAGGTACATGTCAAACAATAAGAAATGATTGTTTAATATTAACTTTTTAATCTGTCTAAACTAGGTATGGTAATATCGTAGTGTTAACACCTGTTGGCATACCCTCGTTTAACCGCACTGTTAAGTACCAACGAGTGGAATAATGAAGACAAATCTTATGAATTCATTATCTAATAATAATATTTCTGAGTTTGTATTGAGGACCATGAAAAGATCTATAATTCCAGACGTTTAATCTGGCATTTATTGAGTCCTATATGTATTACATCTACTAATTTAGGTAGGTAAAAGGTATGTGAATGAGGTATGATAACTCTTCTTCCGTAATATTAATATTCAAAGATGAAGCTACTAAGCTTGACCAAGACGTTATTTACAATAACCAATTACCTCATCATCACTGAAACTGTGATAGCAGAATACTTTGATATCAGATAGGTTAGTAACATTTGAAAGCATCACTGTTTTGGAACGAGAGCGTGTAGTTCTAATGGTGACAAAGAATTAGCATAATCATCACAGCTGATGACGATATGACATTATTCTTACATTTTAAAGCTTTTCAGTTTAAACATCTAGTCTAGAAATCATATTTAAATGCATGTATCTACAATCTATTTAATCCGTATCATTTTATTTATTTTACTTAATTGTAATAGGATGGAGATTTATTCGACGGAATTACTCAGGCAACAAAGTTTACAGAACCAGTAGCAGCTGGAATAGTTTCAGATCTAGCTAATGCATTATTTTATTTACACTGTCGGTCGATTGTTCATCGAGATCTGAAACCAGAAAACGTCCTGGTAGGTTATATTTTAAATTGTTTATTTTTACTTTACCTTACTTGGTAACATTCCAAATTTGAATGACATAACTTCGGGACGTCCTGTATTGCAACAGAATATGTGGTTTTCAAATAAATTCACAAGTACCTTTAGTCATTTCGTAAGGTTCCAATTGAAAATAGTGCTTCAAACTTTGGACATTAAATTTTGAGCATTGATGGTGGGTTTCTAACTGAGTGAGGTTGCAAGCCTGATGTCCGATCTACCCTTTTTACTGAGCTTACCACCGACTACATGAAGTTTAAGAGTATGTCAGTCGGGTATCGATCCTAGATCTCCCGTGTGGATGGCCAGCATTTTATCACTAAATCATAAGAAGAAGCTTGACAGTTTATTGAGGAAGTTACTGGTATCAAGTTAACCAGTACTAATTGTCAACCAAAGTCTACTAATCTAGTTTAACATAATTATCAATTTCAAATAATAGCTTTTTGCACTCCTTTTAAAATTCTAGTACGCATCCTTTACGAAGTGTTGCACGTCTGTGGATTAGAGGCAGAATGTTCACCAATCGCGGATGTTGTCCGGGGTTCGATTCTCAGCCTGAGCACTCCTTTACTTCGCTAAGGCGGTAATAACACCGTTAAGGAGGGAAGGCTGAGCATGAGGCTAGCAACCATACACCGTAAGCATTAACACCTCAGCTACTGAAACTTGAAAGCTCTAACTTGAAGTCCAGTGTTCCACTGAGAACGGAAAGGAATAAAAAACTAGGTGCTGCAGCACTGGTTGAGCCTAGTTTGTATCTGTGTTTGAGATATCTAATACCTGAAGATTCCACGCACACTTTATTAACTAGCGACAAAGTTTTACAGTCTTAGAGGTGATGCTCACTGTATAAAGCACTCAAACATTTGACACAAACTGCAGAGAGAATGACTAGGATAATTTAGGTTATATGTATCTAAGCTTTCCAATATTTTAGCCATCTTCATAGGCAAGATACTTAAACCCTTTATTATTTCATTTAAATTTGTACTTTATTTTGTTCAGTATGTATGATATTTTAATATTCAATGCTGAGCACAGAAGTTAAAAAGTAAAATCTGATATGAGGTAAAGACTAATGTGAAGAAAGATGAGACTCTGAACAAAAACTTATTCTTAAACTTTTTAATTTTAAATTTTATGTAATATTGTCTAATAAATTATTGGTCATTTTGATGCTAACTTACAAAGGTTTTTAACTCCCGATGGTTACAAGATTTCAAAGGTTGAGGGCTGCATAATATATATATTATTATGGGTAGTTAACCATCCTAGAACATAAATTGGAAAACCCATTTATTATTATAATAATTTAAAAGTCTTAATATTGAATATTCTTTTGATGTCCGTCGTATGCTTATTCTGTAAGCTTAAATTTCATACTGAATATCTCCATTTTCCACATCCTTCTATAGTAACTAAAATTAAAATTAAGAACCCGTAGTATGCCTGTATGGTGATATACTGTATTGACTGTTTTAAACTGCTGAAGAATAACTTTGTCTTTTTGCTTTGGGATTTTCTGGTTATAAGACTTTAAACGTTAGCATATTAGTTAACATGAAACCAATGCTTTCTGAACAAAACTACCTAATAAAAATTGCAGTGAATTGGTAACAACTAACCTGAATGATTTTATATGCTGTTAGACGGTTCAAGATCAAGGCAAGAAGCTTTGGACTTAGGTTTCATGCCTTCTGGCACTTATCAGCAAGACATATCTACAATCTTGACATTCGGTACTGCCTGTTGTCCAATCAAAGTATCTATTACAATCCTACAGGAGATGAATCGGGACCCAAATAGCTCACTGGTGACTTTTGAATTTGAGAAGCAACAAGAATTCCCTGAGCATTGAAGACACTGCTTGATGAAGAGTGTCAAGAAGCACGAATCCTAGGTCGAAGGCTTTCCACCGATTGCCTATAACTATCCAATAACAATCGAGAGTGTACGGTGATGGCAATCAACTTAACACGGTGACCATATTGAAAAACATCGGCTGATTAATTCAGTCTGTAACGAACAAAGGACTAGACATATTACATTAGTTACTACCTGGTATCCAGTCAAAAGGTTTTACGTCTAAAGAAGCTACATCCTGAAAATAAACCATTAACTGTTATTTTTTATATTAACATTACACTGCTGAAGAAATTATGATATTTATGTTACTATTAGATATTTTTCTAATGGACATACTGAAATTATTATTTTGTTATTGTTATTTTCTCTTCTGTTAATAGTTGCTACGTCAAAAGAATGGTCAGATACGCGTAAAACTAGCTGATTTTGGATTGGCAATTGTTGTAAAAAGAAATATGTTCACTGTATGCGGAACTCCAACATATATTGCCCCTGAGATTCTACAAGAATCAGGTAAAGTTATTTGCTTAAAAACCTTTTCTACTAAACACTGTTGCTTACTGTCAATTTTTGTTGACATTAAGTCATATGTTACTAATACTTGTTACGAATAGCTCACTTTATTGTGATAAAATAATAAATGTATTGTTCGAACCTTAACTAATTCACCGAGGAACATACAAACTCTTTGTGTTCCATATACAATGTATAGGCTAAATGTATACTTTGGCCAGCCAATTTTCTGTCAGATAAGTAATGTCACCACGGAATCGTGATACTAGTTTGAATGAGAAATTCAACCTTGATGTTTTCTCTACGGAAAACAGTCATTCAATTTTTAAGAAATACTTTGCCACTATTTTTAGATTGGTTTATGAACCGATATAAATTAGAGAAAACACTGAAAACAAACGAGCAGGTAATAGCTGTTTCGTTTTACTATAGGACTCTACAGCAATAAGCACTCACGATCACACCAAGGAATGAACCCACAACATTCAGGTTGCGAGACCAATATCGTTCATCATTACGCCATTCTGGTGGGAATTTAGTGACTGGTGAACTCTTATAACTTCATCATTTCTTGATACACTCCTGCCCTAAACCGGTGCCCTAGATGAGCATCCATTTCATTTTGACATGGTTAATCCTTTGGTTACGACTTCGCTATACAGCCTAAAGACAGTTATTCATAAGCCATCGATGAGCTGGCGATTGATATTCAGAATACAGGATTCTTGGGGATTTGGATTAACTTCAATTGTTAGGTTTTTCACGAGCCAGTAACAGTGAGAGGGTAACTGAAGGTCACCGATCTGATCCTTGGAGGAGTCTTAGTTGTGCACTGGTGAAAAGTCCCAAAAGGGAACGAAACAACTCCCTAGAGCACTCTGGTTTTCAATGGTCTCTGTAACTGAGGTTGGCTGGTGAAGAAATCTAACAACTGAGATTAAACCAAATTTCGACAAATCCCATAGTCTGAAAATATATTATGTTTTGAATTTTTCACCCTGTCTTAAATTAAAGTCGAATATTTCAGCTCAGCTCAAGATACTAGTACTCATCGATTACTAGTTGTAATGATCCTGTGTGCAGAGTTATTCAGACTAATTATTTTTCTTGGAAAATAATCACTTGAGCAGATAACAGAACTGGTTATTTTTTAAAATTTTTTTATTCCTATAACTGATTGCATTTAGATCAAACAGAACGATAGTAATTTAAAAATTAAATTTCAGATAGATAGACTTCGTGTGAGTATCAACATTTTTCAAACTTTTGGGTTACGCTTGACGCTTGAAGTTACATGGTGGTGTATTAGGATTTTTTAAGACTGGTAATCGGTTATTTTTCTAAGTGTTTTAAGTTTTGTGGCGCCTGTTCTATGAACTATGGTTTCATGTGACACCTTTACATGCTAACTGCATAGGACTAATTTAAATTCAGCTTTTCATGTTACATCTTATCAGCTTATTATTGTACCTCCATGTTTTATGTTGGTGTGCCTCAAGAAAAATCAGTCACGTTCGCTTTTTTAAAATTTTATTTTATTCACTGCATCAGTTTTTTCAATGATGTAAAGACAATTTCTGAATAATGGAGGAAACTGGTATCTCGGGTAGATGATTTTAGTAGTGTCACTTTCTTCTGATTCAGATGTTTTAATTGCATAGCTTCCATAACAGGTTATGTTAATTTCGATTAATTTCCCCGAAGAAGTTCAGACCAGATTGCCGAACGAAACGTTTGAATTAATCATTTCAATTTCGCTGAGATTTTACAAATATAACTTTATAAATGTCTACTTCTCACTCAGCGCTCAATTATTTTGCAACTATCCGGTCAAATCTTGATCACAGTTTATATGTGTTAACACATGTTAAAGGATTTTCAGAGTGTTTAAATTGAAAAATATCTACTTTTCTTACAAGGCCTCTATGCTGAATAATATTCGGAAGTACATAATTCTGTTGTTCCGTCTGAAGTAATATTCACTCTTCTTCTACGTTTCTTCCTCATTTCCTTCTAGAAGTGCTCTGTGTTACGTTGACAGCATGCAAAAACTCTTTAGGAGTTTATTCAGAGATCCAAAAACATGAATAGGTGCTATACAATGACTGGAAATTTAGGTAGCCCAGTGATTCACGCAGGTCACCTACAACACAAACTCATGAAAAAACAATTTTATATATTCAACTTTGAAGCACATATATGATTGGATGAAACACCATTTACTGCTACAGACGCTAGCAAGCCGTCCACTTAAATAAATCATGAAAAAGTTTTGTATTTTCGAGTTTAATGCTAAATATCGAAGAAACACACTAATGAAAACAAAAAGAATTAGAGGGAAAAATTGCTTTTAATAGATTTTTCTTCAAGCTCTACAGTTATAAGTTCACTAATTTAAACATACAATAGCCGTAGAAGGCCAACTAGAATCAAATCAGAAAGTGTATTGTGCAACAAGTACAAGATGGAATAATACTCACTTTCGATTATCGACTAAAATATGCGTGGTCAGTATGAAAATGAGGCAAAATGAAATAAATACATCTACCTTTGAGAAGAAAGCTTTACAAGATCTGGATTTTGCGCGTGGATGATTTATGTTTGACGCCACACAAACTGGAAAACGTGCAGAAGAAAACCAACAAACCTACTTAAGAGTCTGGCAGCGAAGACAGGACTGTAGGTGAAAATATGGAAGTTGGAGGTGACGTAGATAACCAAAGAACCGCGACAACAGAAGCACCAATCCTCATCAGCCGGAGATATTTGACAGAGGTTACTTCTACCACTTATCAAGGAAACACGGTTTCAACCACAGGTGGGCAAAACGAATGAAGATTTCAAAGCAAGCTAGATTCGGAAAGGCAAGGTACGCCTGCATTAACACGAAACCATTTCGCAAATCTTCTGCACTGCACTCAGCTAGCACTAACAACAATATTCTGAATCTATGCAACACAAATGTGAAGTCAGTCAGTCAATTCTTTTGTACGAGTCAGAAACTTGCACTGCACGCCCATTACGAAAAGCATTTCCAACAAATCCCTGCAGACTTTCACTAACAGCAGCCTCCTTCGATTGCTCCACACTGAGGATGAAATGGCTAGCCGACCGAGAGAAAGATTTAGCGACAAGAAACTCTGATTTGGAACAAATCAAGCAGGAACTGATCACTTAACAAATATGTAGGAGAAAATGGAGATGGATCGAGCTTTTATTGAGGTGGCCGTCAAATGGTATCGCTCTATCACCAGCACATGTCTCGAGTGGAGTCCCAATGGGAAACGACGAGTGGGTTGTCCTAGATTAACATGTAGGAGATGAGAGATTCTAGGCAATCGTGAATCCAGCTGAAGAGGACAGCAGAAAATATGAGAAAGTAGAGATATGTTTTTGAAGAGCTATGTTCCACTTGGAACCCAAGGGAACAACAATAATCGTTTGAGTGAAATATTTAGTAGGGGGTTGTATTTGTATGGAGACTTCAACAAGTAAACATGTACGAACAGCCCTTGGATTCTCCATTAGAGTATGATTCTGTCATCGAACGGTTTCATTTGCTAAAACTGGACAGTATTATTTATTGAACTGGTTTCAAGCACAATTTATTGCTCATAATCATATCAAGGCAACCACATTGCTTTCAAACTTAATTTATAAAGCCCCATCATTTTGATCTTATTGATAGGAAAATATTCCTATTTTTCATTTCCCTAGTAAATGATACTGTATCACTTTATGTTTTTATCGAGTAAAATCATTCTGTGATGAAAAGAAGTTAGACCTTCTTGGCTTAAACTTAATCTTAACCAGAACATTCGAACTGATGATTAACACTTACCTACTTTTACTGTCACTTACTCTGCCACTGAATTTACTCATACTTATTTTCTTACCATTTTCCTTTATATCAGGTTATGGTTTAGAAGTAGATATGTGGGCATTGGGAATTATAACTTATATTATGTTATGTGGATTTGCTCCATTTCGTAGTCCTAATCGAAGACAATCAATGTTATTTGAAAGTATTAAGCGTGGTCAATTTGTATTTCTTAGCCCATATTGGGATAATATATCTTCATGTAAGTTAAATTACGTATTTACGGATATTTTGTTAACATTACAATATACAGTGATGTAGATGATAGTCACACTTAGTCATATACCAGATACTTTTCAGTTAATCGGTATTTTGAACGCTTATTAGCCAACCTTGATGACATAAGCAACAATAATTTCATGAAAAAGCCTACGGCAACTCAATTTGTCGGTGCAATCACTATCGTATTTCAGTGGAACAATCTCAGGGAAACTAGTTTCATTTGTAAATTTTCAAGTTGAATGCAATCATTTCACAGTATACTTTGAGTATAACAAAATATGGTCAAACTAAAACGTTCAACGCACTTTTGTTTAGTTAGAATGAATGTAAACCAATATCACTGTCGGAAAGTATACTTAGTAGTTGTAATTCATATGGTAAGTAAATATTTACCACTCACCGTCTTATTTAGCTTCAAGATTTTATTCTTAAACATTTGGAAAGTGACTTATCTAAAATTAAATTCTATCAACTTACACTAAGTATTTGTAATGATTAATGATTGTGAGACACTGTTATTTTCTAAGTCATGCAGGTGTTCTAAACTGAAGTGAATACTCCGAGATTACGCACGTTAAGATATTTGTAAAACTTGGGCACTATGGTAGTAAGTAATTCTGCATTAGTTTGTTTATTAGAAGTATCACACAGTGAAACAGTATTATTTACTGGATGACGAGGTTTCGAACAAAACTTACTGTTCATAATCATATCAACTGTAATCACACGACCTTGAAACTTGAGTTTTATAGTTTTCTTTGTCTTCTCCTACTTGTCATAGGGGTAGTAGAATATTCCAGACATCTGGCACAGGTGTTGAATCATTCCTATTATGTGTATTTGCAGTTGATTCGATAAACAAAGCTTCTGTTAGCGATCTCTCACTCCACCCTGTTACATTAGATTTTAAAACTGTCATTCTATCCCACCTTATTGTATGGTTAATAAATAATAAAAAAAATAAATAATGATAGTAGTGATAGTAATAATAATAATATCAATAACTATATACATGTCAAAGATGCTCAAGATAGTGACAACACCAACAATAAGAAATCTAGATCATCACAGGTAATTCCATACAAGGAAGGAACCTCGGAAACCTTACGCAGAATTCTTAACAAGGCAGGAATAAAAGTGGCATTCAAACCCAAAATCTCAGTTAGAAACAAGCTTTGTCGGTTGAAGGATCAATCCTGTGGAGCCTTCAAAACAAAACAATTTAGTTTATCTAATACCCTACTTGAATGATTGTCAGGTCAAACACATAGGTCAAACTGGTAGAACAGGGGCAGTCAGACTAGCCGAACATAAATACCTAGAAAAATCTAGATTGGTTGATCCGAATAAGATAATAAATCTAGAGAATAGTTCAGCTATAGCATTACATGCAGTTACACACAACCATAGAATAGGATAGGATAGAATGACAGTTTTAAAATCTAATGTAACAGGGTGGAGTGAGAGATCGCTAACAGAAGCTTTGTTTATCGAATCAACTGCAAATACACATAATAGGAATGATTCAACACCTGTGCCAGATGTCTGGAATATTCTACTACCCCTATGACAAGTAGGAGAAGACAAAGAAAACTATAAAACTCAAGTTTCAAGGTCGTGTGATTACAGTTGATATGATTATGAACAGTAAGTTTTGTTCGAAACCTCGTCATCCAGTAAATAATACTGTTTCACTGTGTGATACATCTAATAAACAAACTTATATGGACTTACGCCGATTAAGCCCTTGAAAATAACACTAGGTTTCCATCCAGTAGATATGAACCAAGGAACAGTTCTAAGTGATTCTATTGGGTTTGATAACTGAGTCCTGTGAGAAATGTTGGTATTTCAGTCTATTCTGAAAAGGTGAACACATTCAATCTCTCAGTAAAATAATCTTGTAAAGTGAAGAGAATTTAGACTTAATTTACATACTTATTTCATGTTTATTCTGTATTGTGTTTCTTTCTCCATTAACTAGGCGCTAAAGATCTTATCTCTGCCTTATTAGTCGTGACGCCAAAGTCTAGACTAACAGCTCGAGAAACCTTGATTCATCCATGGGTATTCGGCCTAGGTTCACCGAGTTCATCTGAAGAATTTGAAAAACGTAGACTAGACTATCAAAAGGAGTTGGAGCAAATACAACATACAACTAAACAATCAAACATTGAAAAAATCACGGGCAATTTACTCAATCACTACAATACTACTAATAAAAATAACACTAATGAAAATAACATTAATGTTATTAAAAAGATAGAATTACCAAAGGTTGTGAAAATGAGTGGCATGCAAGATTAAATCATTTAATTAGTTTGAAATATTTTCATACTAAATGTGAACACACACACAAACACACGCCCACCCAACTACTTAAAAAGCATATGCTGGAGACGATCTCAGCCTACTTTGTAATTCTGAGGACATCAAAAGCATTTATCACTGTTATTACAAAAAAAATAAGAACTGTTTGCCGCTTTATTGTTCTCTCTCAAAAGTTTCTACTCAGATACATTGGAGTCGAGCAAATAAATGTGTGTAGATTTTCACAAATATTTAAAAAACAAAAACAAAACTTCTTTTTCTTTCTCCTCACTATCTTTCAACCATCTTATTTTTTTTCTATTCATGTCTTATTTTACCATGTCTTTCATGTGATGATCATTGGTTATTCAATACACATAGAGGTTGTTTTTATCCTTAGAGAAAGAGAGAGATAGAAGGTATCAGTTAATCTACAAAGGTATCCTATTTTCTCTTATTTAAACAATCAAATAAATTCTAATGTAAAGAGAGAAGAAACACAGAGTTTATGTAAATGACATCAAGACAATTCAGCGTGGGCTTCCTTTCACTTCTATTGTATTCATAACGTTGAAGTATTTTTGCCCATTGAATCGTGTAATTATATTTATACTGGGTTTTTTTCAATGCCATATATATATATATATATATATATATATATATATATGCACAATCATTTGTAATAATCATGTTCAGGTGTCTTCTTTTGTTATGAATGCTGGTCTTCTTTGATTTACTTCTTGATTTCACTGATTTTAGATTATGATGTATCATCAAAGGGATTTTGAATTTATCACAGTATGTTTGTACTTTATCATTTCACTTGATTATTTTCAAGAGTTATTATCATTTTCAAATCAGATTATTTGAAGAAGTGTAAACAATTAAATGCTGAGATAATATGGAAAATTATTATTATTATTCTCTTGGGTTTCAAGTAGAAGATAAGGCTTCAACAACACATCTCCGATTTCTTGTATTCTGTGTCGTCCTCTTCAGATGGCTCTCCGATTACCCATCATCTCTGATCTCCTCCTCAAGTTCATACGATCTCTTCCATGTGAATCCCAATCTCACGGACGATCCATTCGTCGTTTCCCATAGAGATTCCACTAGAGCAATGGCCTGGCGATACTGCTATGTCATTCGATGGCATCTTCAGCGTGTGGCCAGTCAACCTCTATTTACTCCTACATATTTGTTGAGCAATCGGTTCTTGGTTGGTTTGTTATCACCTAGAGTTTGTTGCCGCCTGGCCAGCCATTTGATCTTCATTGTGGAGCCGTCGAAGGATGCCGAAGGTTGAAAGTGAGACAATAACTCACCGAAAAAGACATTGCTAAGTGGTCGCGCTATGTCATGAATTGGCAGAGGTTAGGATTCATGGACTGGTCATTGGATCGGGTCCCAGTGTCTGAACGGTCTAAGAGCTCACCTTGTAACCAGAATATCCTGAGTCCGAACCTCAATGGTGAGGGCATTCTGTTGAATGGTTGTAAAATATGAAGAAACAGTTGTCCAGAACTCCCACATGGTTTTTTCTAATGGAAATCTAACCTATGTCAGCTCATAGTGAAATTTTCCAAACATTCAAACCAACAAATCTCCACAAAAAAACGATATCTATAAAACACAACATAATCGAGCAAAGAATATTCTTTTCAATAAATTCCTCTTCTGGCTCTACAATTATGTACATGTTTATATACACAGAATATTCAAGGTTGGTAGTTAATAACAATATTAGTGTTTTTTAAATAATATCGATTTGTAAAGCAAGATCAATGCAATTACAGTTCACTATTTTGCTATATTAAAAAAACGATACTTGAAAGTGATAATTATTGTCTTATAGGAACAAGATATCAGTAGCTGTCAACGAACTAGGACCTCCCATATATATTTCTTGTTCATACCTGTACAAAAATCACAGATTGAAAAACCAATAAGAAGTTGATACAATAGGGAAAATGTATAAATTTATGTAACTATAAGAAGGAAATGGGGGAAAAAGTATTATTAAATAATTTTAATTTATAAGAATATAGCAAGTGTGCACATACGCTATCGTGGTTGATGTTTAAGTCACAAGTTTAGTTATCTCGATAACCTTAACCATAAGGCCTACAAAACAAAAAATCCTCAATTACAAATGGAAGGGTTTGTTTTTTCTGTTTAGACCTAAGTTGTTTTCATACACTGAAGAAATACTCTCTGTCATATAGGCTGATTAATTCCATTTATAACCTGATCTGTTCTACCAAGTTGATTATGATTATATGGGCGCGCTAGAAGTTAGAATTCATGTACCACTGAGTCATGTCTTAGTGTTTGAATGGTCTGCGAGCTCGTCTTGTAACCGGAAGATCCTGAATCTAAACTCTGGTAAGTGAGTACTGCTGATGAGTCCTAGACTACGACGGAACAGCTATTCAGTACTGATTGGTGTTTCAGCGATTTTCCAATCAAAATCAAATCTGTGATCAAAGTTGAAACAAATCAGATTCCAGCATACTAACTCTTTAAAATGTTTTCATTAGCTAACAAGTTAAATGGTCAACCTATTCATCCTCTGAATCTGCTGATCCACGTCCTATCAATACACTATTTTGAGTGGTCTAAATTATCAGCTAGGAATGTCTTAACCTAACTAACTTTTCTTATTCGTCTTAAGTTTCAAACTATTTTATCAATACATACATATAGGCGAGTAATTAGTATAAAAATCACTAAGTACTTCGTCAGAAATGCAATTTCGTACTTCTGTAAATATGCATTAATCATAAAGTAACAATTACATGAGACAGCTTGATAAATTTATCAAGAATACAAGAATAATCTGTGGGTTGAAGATGAATGATTCACGATACTGTCATTTGGTATACAGACATCAGATGGAACTAAATACGGGACTTTATTCTTAAAAATGCATAATTAGAATACTAGGTGTTATTATCGAAACATTACTAGTAATCACGTTAACAACATTGATTTTTCACTTGTGTGTAAGGTCATTCTATCCATTCACCTATTCGAGGTCATTGATGACACAATTGTAAAGTACGAAAATTTTAACTTTTGTACTTAAGTAGTTATCAGTTAGTGCTTACTTAAAAAGATTAATCGAATTTCATTAGGATAGAGTACTTATTAGGAACAATAGTGTAAAGGTGCAGTTTGCGGTAATTAAAACAAACAACGCATAGATTTCTCATTTACAGAAGTAATAAAATAAATGGTAGTTAGGACTCATTTGAACTTGATGGGACAGAAATCATTCTGAACAATTTTATATAGTTTTCTGTTCCATATTAGTTGATCTTATGATATTAGATAGTTGGAGGCAATCGACAGGAAGCCTTCGACCTAGGTTTCGTGCTAGTTGGCACTTATCAGCAAGACGTATCTGCAGCCTCGGATGAATTCATGTTCCTTCCGAGATTCGAATCCGCGTCACCCAGTGCTGCAGTCAAAGACGTTACCACTGAGCTATTCGGGCCTGCGATTGACCTCAAAATAGTCGATCTAATATTGCATAACCTAACAAGATAATATCTAAGTTAACGCAATAACCTGAATTTGGTTTATGTAGCTGTACTGGTTCTTTTTATTTCAGTTTCTAGTGATATTGAAATCTTTCCTAAATCCTAAATCGGTATGGTGTGCTTTAAGCAGTGAACGTTTCAAATCCAAATCTGCTTGGTTCCAAGACTACAGTGCAGTTTTATTCTGTGTCTTTGAAAGCATAGTAAACGGTGGTGTTGGCTTTAATATGTTACTGATCATAAACTGTATTGAATACCATGAGGATTATGATTATTAATCCCTTCAGTTATAAGTTGAACAAATAGCTTCAACAGAATATTTCCATTTCCTCCTGCATATTTGTCGAGCAGGAGGTTCTTGGTTGGTTCATTCACAGAGTTCCTTGTAGCTAATTCTGTCTGACCACTGATCTGGTCTTCATTAAGGAGCACAGGCAGCTGTTGACAAACGTCTGTGTTGACCTGCTAGAAATGCGTTTTGTGATACTTCAAGTCGCTGACCCATATTAAAGAAGTGACTTACCACTGGTGTTGAAAACTCGAATTTTATTCATTATGCCGAGGGAAATAGACCTCCACGCTGACTTCAGAGTAACGGGAGTTCATTACTCTGAAGTTGGACTTTTTCAATCCTGGTTATGACATCCACATCTGTTCTGTCGCCTGCAGCTGAAATAATGCTACACAGATTGGTGAAAGAAGTTACTTCCTTCAGATTTCTCCTGCTAATAGTGATTGGTGGTTGTTCTTCATAACCACTATCTTTTCTGTATTCACTTGAAGTGCTGTCTTCGTTACCTGCTTCTTCCGCGACCTGTTGATTTTCGCCAGTTGATTTTCAAGTTTTTTTTTGACATTAGACATAACTCATTTGCGAAACTCAGATGTTTTAGAGTTTTCTTATCAGTCTGGCTTATTCATATCTTCTCGCTTCTCACAGATTTCTGCATGGCTCAAGTCCACCCCAATGAACAGTCACAAACAATATCATCGGTAATAGTGGACAGTCTTGTCTTATTCCTCTCTTCAATTCAATGTCTGTCTTGTTTGAGTTTACTGTTATGGATTGCTTGATATGCGGCATTGTCATATAGTTGTTAAATAAGGCCGACAAGAATTTTGAGCACTCCGTAGTGTTGAAGCAGTTTCCCAATCTCTTAGTGATTGACGCTGTCGAAAACTTTTTCAGAATCGATGAAGTTGATGTGGAAATTTACCGTCAGGAAACAGTAACAGAAACTGTACCTTAATTATGATCACAAAAAACTGTCAAAGCACTGATGATTACTTGCGAGATTCTTGTATACATTTCATTACACTCTAAAATGTGTATTAGTAAGCCTTCCAAATACTAGAACAAAATAAATATGAATACTTTTCATTTCATTACTGGTTGATTGGGACTTATGAAATTACGCTAGCCAATGTTTGATAGAGAAAATTACTTAATCT